TTCATCGAAAAAAATTTTTTGCTTTCAGAAAATATTGTCCATGTTCATAAAAGCAAATAAAAGCATTTGAAATTAAATAATATCTTTGTTTTATTGAGTTTTGTACGTTACTTTTCAGAGCTGATTTTCAGGTAGGGGGGAGTCCAATTAAAAACAAAAAAAAACATGATTTGCATTCCTCATGCTTGTAATCATTAAACTAGACTCAATCGAATTTCTAGCGTTTTCATAAAATTAGTTATTTAAAAAAAAAAATCAATATTATATGCTGAAACTCATTCTATATATATCATTCATATAAATGTATTTTTAATATTTTACCAACATTAGTTGGTTTATTGTATAAAATCTGGCATTATATATAGGTTTTTTAAAAGTTAAATGAAACTTCTTTAATAGAGTATTTTTTGTTTATTTTTTTCCATATTATGGACCATTTTCCTGGTTAAAAATTTGAATAGAAATTACCCAATATCTAAGCACTTTTGGCTTTCATAAGACATTATCAAAGCATTTGTTGTGACTAACAAACATACACACACACATATTATATATATATATATAAAGAAACAGACAACTTTAAAGATTCATGGGATTGTAATTGATTTCCTTAGAACCAGGATTTTGGTCCTAATTCATCAGATCTCCATTTTCATACAATCCTCCATGGAATTATCCATACGGATTATCAAATAACTTCATTAACTATATATATATATTTTTTTTTTTTTTTTTACAGTGAACTAAAGAATATAAAACAAACACTTATTAATAATAGCTTTCCAAACTATAGTTGATGAACAAATAAAATACTTTCTTAGAAGTCTTAATACTATGCAAACAGAACATAATACTGCTTCAACTAATTCCAAACATATTAATCTCTTTTATCGTAGTCAAATGCATACTAATTATAAACAAGATGAAAATATACTTTAAAAATTAGTAAATACTAATATATCCACAACAGACCCTAGCAAAAAAAGTAGGTTAATCATATACTACACTAAATATAGTATATCCAACTTAACTATTTGCAATGATTCTTCCCCACTCCCCGTTAGCAATTTGCAGAAAACCAACATAGTTTACAAATTCAAGTGCCCTTTGGGAGAGTGTATCTCCAACATATTAAATAATATTTATGTTGATCACAAGACAAACTCGCTTTCAGTCAATATGAAAGGAACTTACTTAAAATAAATAGACAAAACTTGTCTGTATTATTTAATGAAACATGCATTAATGAAAAATTGCTGCCTAAATATGCACAATATATTATATATATATATATTGTCATCCACAGAGAATTTTGATATATATATATATACTAGCAGTAGAGCCCGGCGTTGCCCAGGGATGTAACAGTAAGAGATAGATCAAGTATCGACCATCATAAAGACTGAAAAATAAAATTGACAAAGATTATCGTTTAAGGTTGACGAACACGCATATCCTAATTAGTTTTTTTTTGTTTTGTTTTTTTGTTTTTTTTTTACGAATTGGTCAAACCCAAACAAAAACATTGTTTTCAATCGTTATGAGTCTACTGATTGAATAGAATTTTATTATAAACAATTGTCTTGTAAATGGAATTTTTAAAGCATTCTGAATGTAAAAATAAAGAAAAAAGTGTGCAAGACAATAAGAAACACTACCTGCCAAAAAAAGTGAAGTTTTGTTGAAATTGGTTGAAAAATGTAGGAAATCCGATCCCATATATAAACGAACACATACACACAAACAACCTGGGTTATATAATAAGTATAACTCGATATGAGTTGTCCCTCTTTCATTCTGGCAATAGAATCGTGTTTTCAAATTGATGTCATGCAAAAACAATTGTGTTTTTCCAATTTTTGGCGCTGTCAGAACCACCGCAAGGTAATTTTACATAGTCCTGTGAAGTTTTGTTGAAATCGGTTGAAAAATGTAGGAAATCAAATCCAATATATAAACGTACAGACACACACACACACACAATCTGCGTTTTATAATAAGTAAGATATATATGTTTCGTTTTTTATGCTATGTCAGTTTCATCTTTTTTCAAGGCTTACAGCCACATCATGTTGAAACATTGGTTCCCATACAATCACCAAAATTAAGCAGCATCAAGCCTGGTCAATATCCAGATGGTTGATCGCTTGGAAATACCAAGTGCTGTAAGCTTGGATGTGCAGATGGTGTAATTGGTAATAGCTTGGAATTGTTAATCAGAGATCCAAGTTCCAATTCCAGGTATAAATCCAGCTCTTTCCCCCCCATGTATGGGTTAATTAGTAAGACTTGTATCACTAAATCATTATCATTATTATAGAAAAAATTCTTACAATCTAAATATATTTCAGGCTTTAAATAACATGCAAAAGGTTTGTAAAGGCCAGTTAGTTGGTGTGACCTCTCAAATTTATATTTACCACAAAATATGAAACAATAAGAAGGAACACAAAACAATTTTATGACAAACAATGAATATTTACAGTGTAACCCGGATATAAGAGAGTTGTTGGGACTGGAGAAGAAGTCTCTTATATCCGGGTTTGGTCTATTTTATATACACTAACACAGGCTCTAATTTGGGACCAGAGAAAATCTCTCTTATATCCGGGTTTCTCTTATATCCGGGTCTCTTATATCCGGGTTACACTGTATATTGTCTGTAATAATGTAAAGCATAGGGGTTACTTTCCTTTGACTGGAATTAAAGCTTTTACTAATGAAATATTTTTATGAGCTCATAAAAAGTTGAATGAACTTGCTGCTCAAAATATTCACTGTGTGTTTGATAAAATAGAACTTTGAATAATTACTTGATGTTTCAGGAAGTTTGTTTGGTACTAATTAGAATTTAGTTTTTGTACTTCTGAAAATAATTAAAATAAGTTTTGCCGCTAGAAGACAGTGTTCACCAAGAAAAAAATTTTGTTAAATAGAACTGAATGAGAATGTTTTTTGAATTATGTTCTTAAGGGCTGAAAATGTATTCAGTAAACTTGTAGTTTCTGGAAAAACCTTTTCTTTTAAGTAATTTCTTGCTGGTGAAGTATTAGAAAATACTGTAATATCCGAGTTTCTTTAGCATGGCAACAATGTGTCTGGTTGACTTTTCTTTTGCTTCACTTTGAAAGAGTTAAAAGTTTGCATATGTGTTGATTAGTTGAAAGTTAGATGTTCGTTTCTGTTGCTTGTGGTTGAATATTTGTAATAAGTTAATGCTTGCTTGTAATGTTTGTAATTAAGTTTCGTACGTACATATATGTGTGCGTGTTTTCATAGCGTCTACCCAAACTGGGATCGGAACACAATTTCTTTAATGGCTACATTTTCGTAATCACAAAGAGGGAGTAGAGTAGAGGAAGAACTAGTGTCTAGTATTTATAAACAATGTAAATCATGTGATCAGCTCCTCGAAGCATTTCTAATTTTTGGCGGGAAAATTTGACTTGGTCACACGCTGGAAAAAGATTTGTACGTGGGTGGATTGTAATGCCCACTTGTGTGTTTATTGACCAATTAGAAGTTGAGGTTTTCTGAAAATATGTATGAAGCTGGATAAGCTCCGTGATCCACTTTTTACAGAGATTTGCATAAAAATCAAACTCAATAAGAAAGTTATATATATATATATATATATATATATATATATATATATATATTAAGCTGTATTTCACCAACAATAATTATCTCAAATATATTTCAATAAATAACATGGAAAAATTCTGTCTATCAATTTTTTTTTTTATTTAATTTTGCAAATTTACAAATTAGGTGCTTTGTTTTATAATTAAATTTGTCAAAGCTCATTTATTTTTATTCTATATTATTTTCTTCCCAAGTAGTTTTGAATATTCCTACATTTGTTTTCAAAGATTGTTCTGTGTATATTTATGCAACAGTTTTTTTAATTCAGGTGTTCTTATGTTTGATGGAGCCAGTCATGGCTGTCAGGCAATTTCTGCAACCACATCACCCCTTAAATCTAACCACCTAACTCCCCAGATTGCAAAACCCTTGATTATTATGTGTGGGGTGCAGTTGAGCGAGAGAACAAAAAAAACTCCTTGTAATATGAACTGAAGGCAAGGATTTTGACAGCATTCACCAACTTAAACAAGGAGACTGTTGAGAAGAGTTGCAGAAGATTCTGAAGTCGTCTGGAGGCCATGGTTGAAGCCAATGGTGATTTTATTGAATAAATTTACTCTTTAGTATTTCAAGATATTTTTGTATAATTTTGGTAAATATATCTGTTAAAATGAGATGCCAGTATTATTTTCATTTTTGCATAATTTAAACAATTTATCTATCATATCCTGTATATATCTCTCACTGAGAATTTGAAAATTCATATCTGCTAATTTTTATTTTCATATGCAAAATTGTAAACAAAGTAATTTTAAGCAATAAAACATCAAATTGATTGATTGTTTTTTATGACTTATCAACCTTTGTGGGATATTTAAAGCCGAAGCATATTTTTTGGATTGGAAGAATAATTCTTTTTCTTTTTTATGAGTGAATACTGCATTAACAAATTTTTTGAGAATAAGAATTTTCTTTTACACATCTTACTTCTTAACCCATAACTGGAGGCAAGGAGATGGATTCATACCTTTTCCAAGAGTATTTGCATGTAAGTGAATGTAACAATTCAACTGAAATTTGAACACAGTTCTCTGATTTCTCATTCAGAGTTCACTATCTATCCCACTACCTGCACATGCACTATAAAATCTCAAAGAAAAATTATTGTTGGTAATTTTTAATAATCATTTAAAAGAGCCTATTTTTACTAACCATTTAAAATAGTTATTGAAATTTAAATTTCAAAAGTTATTCCTTTAAAATTACAGTTGTTATAAAAGGTTATTATTTAATTTTACAAAAAATATAAGAACATCTTAACACCCAGAAATTAAAAAAAAAAAAAAAATATAAAAATAATTGAAAACATATACGAACAAATTAACAGCCAGAAATTAATAACTGTTTTATACCTGTGCAAATGTCTCTTTTTCAGAATCACATACACTTTTGGGACAGAAAGCATAAAGAGACTCGAGCTGTTCTAATTTGGACAGAGGTTTGTCATCCATACTGAACGAGATTGGGTCTATGAACCATGTGTAGTCAAGTTTGGTATCATTGCTAAAAAGACAATAAACATGATATCAAAATCAATATGAAATTAACATTTTCATTGCAGAGGAAAAAGCTACAACTTCATCTCATTCAACAAGCAAATGCTTCAGAATATAAGCATGATAAAATAACTGGCCTTATTCCTTTCTTAACAATATTTTCCCATATCTTGATACATGGCTTACTTTCTAGAAACCATATTTCATTATTCCTATATTGAACTTGAATGGCTTCAGATTATTGTGTCACATTTATAAAATTAAAAAAATGAAATAAAAAAATAAGAAGCCACCCCTAATCTTTAGCCTCTTCTATTATGAGTTGTGTTTTTCTTTAATATTTTCTTGATGTTTGATGAATTATTTAAAACTTGCCAATCCCCGTTTCTCAAAAATGGTGGGTCAGCTTGATGACCGATAAAAATGTCCGTATTTTATTTTTGATAATTTTTTTAACTTTTAACTTACGAATTTTTAATTTTGGCAGCATTAAAATTGACAAACCATTTCTTGCCCTAATATTTTGCAAATTGAAATAACAAAGATTTTGTGTTTGCAATTTCCAATGGGAAACTGTCAATGATTTGTACCAGATAATACTTTTGTTGCAGCTGAATACTGATAGTACAATCAATAATAGCACTTATTTCCTTCATGTCAAAAATGATGGAATTTCAAAAATTTTAAAAAGATACTTCCTTTTTCCAGATTTGGGCAATCTAAGGTCTGTCCAGGTGTCCAATCATACTGAATATTTCAAGTACAATTTAAATGGCTTTCTTGTAACCAGTCAGAGTGGACCTTACAACATGCCACTTAACCAGTCAGAATAGAGCATGCCACTTAACCAGTCAGAATAGAGCATGCCACTTAACCAGTCAGAATAGAGCATGCCACTTAACCAGTCAGAATAGAGCATGCCACTTAACCAGTCAGAATAGAGCATGCCACTTAACCAGTCAGAATAGAGCATGCCACTTAACCAGTCAGAATAGAGCATGCCACTTAAAGTCAGAATAGAGCATGCCACTTAACCAGTCAGAATAGAGCATGCCACTTAACCAGTCAGAATAGAGCATGCCACTTAATGCCAGCATGCCACTTAACCAGTCAGAATAGAGCATGCCACTTAACCAGTCAGAATAGAGCATGCCACTTAACCAGTCAGAATAGAGCTTAACCAGTCAGAATTAACCAGTCAGAATAGAGCATGCCAGTCAGAATTAACCAGTCAGAATAGAGCATGCCACTTAACCAGTCAGAATAGAGCATGCCACTTAACCAGTCAGAATGGACATTGCTGCATGCAATTTAACCAGTCAGAGTGGACATTACTGCCTGGTCTCTCTCAGCATTTAGTGAGATACCAGTAAATGAGTTTATGTCACTATGATTCATGATGACATCACAATTCAAAATATTTGGTGAAAAATTTCATCACCAAGGTATGTCAGCCCATTTCTACCATTCAAGTTTGGCTCCTGATAAATTTATTTTTATCAAAGTTAAAACTGCCATGGAAAGTGAGGATATTTCTGACTATGGTTAAGATTTAAGATTAACAAAGTAATAAAGCAGCTGATGATAATCCTAAAGAAGACTTTACAGACCGTTTTGAAAAGTGATAGGAATGTTGGAATAAGTGGGAGAGATCAGATATAAAGTACTTTAAAGAGGTATAAGGAACCATTGTATTAAGTAAGCTAGTGTTTTTGCTTTGTTCTTTTTTCTTTTGTTTTTTTTTATTAACTCTTTGAGCCCTGTGTTCCTGAACAATTTTAACCCTTCTGCCTCCTGAGCTACTGAGTCAAAATTTACAAATAATTGGTATGTAATATCTCACAGTAGATATATAAAAATAGTTACAAGTGTTTACCCACTGTTCAACTGTTCATCTTTCTCTACCACCGCTCAACCGGTGGCTGGGCATTAAGTCATCTTTCTCTACCACCGCTCAACCGGTGGCTGGGCATTAAGTCATCTTTCTCTACCACCGATCAACCGGTGGCTGGGCATTAAGTCATCTTTCTCTACCACCGATCAACCGGTGGCTGGGCATTAAGTCATTTTTCTCTACCACTGTTCAACCGGTGGCTAAAGTTAATATTAAGTCTTTGATACCGGTAAAGTGGTGGTCAGAGCTAAAAAAAAGTCACCGGTAAAGTGGTGGTCAGAGCTAAAAAAGTTAATATTAGCTTTAGCTGAATTCTCTCTGGATACACCTTGTAATAACATGCATTAAGAACTTCTGAAAGAAGTAAACTTTACAAACCTGATATTGTGAAATGTGTCCTCTAGTCCATCAGTTTCACCATCTATCTATAATCAAAAGTAAAACAAAATTATAAACATCAAACTTTGGACATTGGAAACGATATTAAATAAATCATTACCTGAAGGAAATTGAACAAGATGAAGAAAGAATTCTGATGAATTTGAAACTGGATACATCATGAATTGCATATTAGCATAAGGCATGAATCCATTTCTCCCTCTAGCCATGGGTAAATAAGTAGGGGCAAACTAGACTCTCCTTTTGTTGGCAATCATTCTAAGAGATTAACAACTCCTCCAACCAAAGAGTGGAGCCCTTACGTCAGTTTGATTTTAAATTATTCCTTTCTGGAAACTCGTACAGCCAAAAACCCTTCTGGCACCAGTGGAAAAAAAAGAAAAGACCTTGCAGACCAAAAGAATGGAATCTTCCCAATGCAATGACTCTCTCTCTCATTTTGAAAACATTCACACATAGGCTGCTGTGCAAATCTCATATTCTGCACATCTACAGACATCAGAAAAATGGTCAGCCAAAAGAGAATATGATAAAGGCATCTTCCATTTGGGGTCCAAAGAATTTACAGCAAACTTGGACCTTCATGCCAGCAAAATAGCAGTGTTGAAAGGACAGTTTTTTTTTTCATTGATACAGCTATTATTTTAACTACCTTCCATCCTCAGCAATATTTATCATTTTAAAAAGCAATGATTAGAAATTGTAATGAATAACCCGAAGCGAATAAACTTAGGAAAGCTTTATTCAACTTAATACAGCTACCAAAAGAAAAGAATTAAGCTAGCTTATTTATAAGCATTTCTGGAGTCTGTCCATTACACCAAACAGGGGGAGCAGGTTGTGGAAATTACTTACAACTGAAATAAAACCTAAACATATGATGAAAGTAAATTTATACATTTGTTTTGTTCTTGAGAATTTACAATAACAATATTAAACACTATTTATTTATTGTCTATGCTTAGGTTTTATTACAATTCTAATCATCGCTTTTTAAAAGAATAAACATTGCCGAAGAGTGAAGGTAGTTAAAATAATAGTGGTCTCAATGGAAAAACCATCGTTTTAACACTTTTTTCCAGGCATGAATTTCTCAGATGGCCACAACTTTCCGCTATCAAACAACAGACAGAAGTTATGATAGCATAACACCCCACCCAAATTAAAAACTACATAAAAGATATTGAAAAGCAGTGTGAAATTGACCCTAGCAAAAATATTTTGACAAAATTTTATAATAAAATGATCTAGTCAGTATACAATTCATTAATTAATGAATAAGTATTGAAAAATGAATGAAAGAAATTATCCGATTTAAATTAAATTTTTAATCAGATAATTTATTGATATTTTGCAAATCTTTGAAAAAGGTGGGAAGTGATATTTTGCTCTCATTTCAGAAAAGAAAAACTTACATCTATTTTGTTGGTGCTACTTTTAACCAACTCTGTCTTTGCTAAATTCTGTAATATATCCCATGAACCTGTTTTTGGCAAATTGACACTTGATAAATAACATTGCTTTATAATTTTCTGTGTAATACATGCAGGCATTTTTCTACTAGGTATAAACCCTGATAGTGTCTCCACATTGCTTCTAAAAGAGAGTATCTGGACATTCTTTGATGTCTGCAGGTATTGAGGTATCTTGAGCATTTTTTTTTTTAGCCTTAAAAAAAAAATTGCATTGTCATCTGCCTGATATCATTTCCAACTGAAGAATCCAGGTAAAATAATCAATAATTGTAGATTGGCTCACCTATCACCTGTTCACACTCATTCCCATCGTTGGAACAGGAGTAGAGGTTTATCCCTCGTTTCCTGTTTAGGATTGGGCTTCCAGTTCCTTCTAAAGTCTATTTCAACCCTATACTTCTAATGTCTCTATCTAAACTCTGAAATTTTATTTACTAATTATTTATTATTTTTTTTTCTTGATAGGAGTAAATAGGTTTGTGTTTCATCCAGTTCACACTCTTCCCCAGGTTTTTGAACAGGAGTAGAGGTTTATCCCTCATTCCCTGTTTAGGATCAGGTTTCCAATTCCTTCTAAAATCTTTTCATTCTATTTCAATATCAATTAGCTCCTTGTGTCTTAGTGGCATTGTTGCCTTGTATGGGATGAATTGATTAAAAAAAAAAAACCCAAATGACTATTATGGCTCACATGTACGCCATTGTACCAAGTGGCTGCTAACACTACATGAAGATTCAACTTCCTTCTGACAGGTCTTATTTTTAAACCTTGACCTAAGATAAGGTTCACATCTTGCCTATCTCTAAATTATTAATGTTGAATAAGGAAACCTACATAGTTGTCCTTTACTTACTGAACATAGCTTATCATCATCAGTCCCATAACTGGGTGTGGTCATAGTCCCCTCCCTATATCTGGCTTGAAAGCCGGAAGTATTTATTCGTATATAGTAGGTGCAACAATAGACTAATGGATTGTGGCTCGAATTAAGGAATTGGAGAGCCAGTTTGAATTCCAGTCAAGTTCATTACATTCTCTTACATGCTAATACACTTGGCAAAGGTAGGACTCCAACAATTCTAACCTTAACCCTCCTCACCAGCTATGGGTAAATAGTAGGACAGACTAGGTTCTATAGCCTTTGGTGGCAACCAAACTAGAAGAAAAACTCTGTATTCAAAACTGTATGTAGCAATGCATATACCTTGTAGCTAAGGAAAGAATCGTTCGCATTGACTTGATAATCCTGACTAAGGTCATCTCCTTGTGCGGGCAAGTAGACCTGGCGGAACCTATTCCTTTTCAGGTCAAACCACAACTAATGTCTTCCAAATTGAAGGCTAGCTAGCTTGCTGATATTTCTATAGGTGGAACTCTCTGCCCTGGTCATTAACTTCAGGCTAAGAAGCCTGCTACCCAGCAATACAATGTCATCACCACACTGATTGCATCCATAGCTATAGAGGTCAGTCTACCCCATGATGCCACATGGCAGCTAACACTACAAGAAGGTGCATCTCCTCCTTTGATGGATCATGTTTTTAGTTCTGTTGAATATCTAGCCACTCCTGGTGGAGGAACCAGTTTAGTCACCGACGACTCAACCATGTAGCAATAGTACTGGGTTACATGATACCAATAGGACTCAGAGTGACCTATCATAAGGCTCACATCCTGCCTCCCCTTGAATTATGTTGGATAAACATATGTGGGAGGTAACACAACAACTCAACTGATGATAGCAGGTAGGAACAAAGAAACCGGTGTCGCACGTCCAACCTTCTCATGAGCCGAAAGCTCTCTCATCCCAAACAGCAAAACGAGCCTGCTTTATACAGCCGAGGACTGACCACAATTTGCATGCGAATGACGAGACAACAAGATTTCGCGTTAACTAGCCGAGACCGCCCGGCATAAAATATGGGCGCCACCATTTTGGTTCCTTTTACTGTTGGGAGGACCAGAGTTTGCACACTGCACAGATGCGCACGCGTTTCCGAGGTAAGCCATTTTCACAATTTTCCCCACACATAAGTATGCCTACATACAACGTGTTCTTTATTTAATGTAATAAATGTAATCAAGAAATATCAATTTTTTTTTTTTTACTTACCAATACTGAGCCAAAAGAACTGCTATGCTTTTTGGGCGGCAGAATACGCTGTGGGTGGGGTTGAGCAAAGAGTTGTACTACACCACAATTGGTTACATGGGTATGGTTGTCAACTAACTGCAAATGAACATTTTTTGATTCTACTGAGGCTGTTCCACTGAGCTGAAATTAAAAAAAAAAAAAAATCAAAGGGAGATAACTAAATTTACAATAGCTTTTTTCTGCTCTTTTTATCCCTCTTTTATCCACTGTAACTACTGAAAGTAATAATATAAAACAAATATTGAAAAAGAAGTAAAAAAAAATGAACTCCAATAGTAGTGGTAATACTAGCTTATTCCTTATATAAGTAGTTTGCAAACTTTATTTTTCTGGGCTGCATTTTCAGAATGAAAATTTGCTTGTGCCTCACCAAATTTTAGGTGAGAAAAACTACATTTAAAAATAAAAAGTAACTAATAGTGTGTTAGTTATAATATGTAACATAAATAACCTATGATTTAATGAAAGGTATGAGTTTGTTTTTGATGAGTAATCTCCTTTATATTAGGCCTAATTTGAGATAAACAAACTCATCTCCTCATCAACACAAAGATACCAGCTCAGGGGAAGAGAAGTCCCAGTGAAAAAAGCCGTCCTACAGCAAAGAAGGTCTAGAGAGAAGGCTAAAGAGAGATAACCGTGGATTCAAAATCGGAATATTATCATTGATAACTCTCTTTTACAATTTGTGGACCCTAGTTACTACATTCTTAATACTGAAGGCAATGATCATGGCAGCATTCATCAACTTAAACAAGGAGACCATCCAGAAGAGTTGCAGGAGATTCGGAAGTCATCTGGAAGCCATGGTTGAAGCCATTGGCAATTTTATTGAATAAATTTACGCTTTACTATTTCAAGATATTTTTGTGTAATTTTGGTAAATATATCTGTTAAAATGAAATATCAGTGTTATTTTTTTTTAGTGTAATTTAGATGAAAATTTATCCATCGCACTCTGTATACCTCCTGAAGTGTGGACAGACAGGTCTGCTTATGAAATTCTGGAGTCGGAATGCTGAAGGTAACAGTTAAGTGACATACTTTTGCTTATATATTATAAATTAACTCATTTAAAATATGTTTTTTTCGCTAACCATGTTTCAAAAATGAAAGCTAAAAGCTTCAAATTTAATTTTGTAATTAAATTAAAAACATTAGTTCCATTTCATCTTCAAACAAATATTGGACTCGCTTGAAGATGAAATGGAACTAATGTTTTTAATTTAATTACAAAATTAAATTTGAAGTTTTTAGCTTCCATCTTTGAAACATGGTTATTTCTGTGTAGTGAAAAAACCATATTTTAAACCACTTAATTTATAATATTTATGCTCTGTAAATTTACATTGAGCACTGTTTTGTAAAAATAAAAAATATCAATAAGAACACTGGATTATATATCTTACTATTCTTTCTTTTTATTTATATTTTATATATATATATATATATATATATATATATATATATATATATATATATATATAAACATATTTCATTGAATAATACAGACATATTGCGCCTACTTATTTTTGTACTGATCCATTTCAGTTACCTAATCAGTTTATTGATGTTAAGATAAAATTCATCAAAGAAGGTGCCATAGTTTTTTTTTTAACCCAAGTACTTTCGATCTTTTCCAAGATCATCTTCAAGGGTAAATTACAAAGATAAACTTATTCTAACTGCAATAAAATAAGCATCTTATTGAGATGATGATTTTTAAAACACACACATAAACACGCTCTGCTCAGTTATTTTTGATTTATTGATTGTAGTTATGTAAATTTTTGCAAAACAAGCATTTCAATATAAGGGAGCTGACTGGAAATTAGTAGAAATATAAAATGGCATTAAATATTTGTTATATGCCATTTCTTATATTCTTGCTATATTCATAATAAATTATGTTGAATATGTTGGTTAATTTTGATATTGACAGTCTCAAGATTTTGAAGTTTGTGTTTATTATTTTTGAGGTGTGGTATTGTCAACAAACATTTTCCTGTATCGTGAAGGTGGACAGTACATATGTTGGTTTGACAACCACAACATCTCACACTTCATTTGTCGTATACAAGTTCTATAGCACAACATTTAAAAACACATTCCTGTCTACCTTCACAAACAGAACCATTTATTTAATCTATAGATCGTTCTCATTCTGCTGTCCAAGGTATTTTTTAGTTATGGAAGTGTTGTATCCTTAAAGATTGCTTTGGTTTGGTTTATGGCATATCAACCTCAATGGGTCATTTAATGCTGACAACTTTATTTTTGTTTTGCCAAAAACCTATTTCTGTTAATATTTTTTTCCTCAAAAATGTATAGCTACTAATATTACTTTTCAAAAACGTATAGCTGGTAATATTATTTTTTTCAAAAACGTATAGCTGGTAATATTTTTTTTTTCAGAAACATATAGCTGGTAATATTTTTTTTTTCAAAAACATATTGCTGGTAATTTTTTCTTCAAAAATTTATTTCTGGTAATAATTTTTTACAAAGTATTTCTGGTATTAAAACCTATTTTTACACTTTTATAATGCCTTTTACCTCAGTTTCTGGGTTAACTATTTGCCCATAGCTGGGATCCTAACAGGTGCCACCACTCTGGGTCAGGGTGGACCTGGGAACACCAGCAATCAAAAGGAGGTTCCACACTCCTCAAAGCCTCCTGATCAGAGGCCTTGGTGTTGGATGTAGTTTATCATCTTAACCTGGACACTGATGTAGTTTATTGTCATACCCAGGACACGTATCCTTAAAGAGGTTACAAACAAATTGGTACTCGAGTGAAGGAACAGCAACATGCACAAAGATGAAAGAAGAGAGGTTTATTGTAAAAGAGAATACACTACTGAAAGACAGGGAATCAGGTGGCAGGCTCGTAATTCCCAAAGCAATCCCCCAAGTATATCCAGGGCTCACTATATATAGCTACTGATATAGTCAGTCCATATAGAGAGTGTGGGACATTTCATTACAACAGGAAGATCGAAAAGCGAAATGGTAGAAATGGTATGATAATAATAACAACAGAGACGAGGATATTAGTTCAACCATAAATAATAACTCCTCCTCATCTGAGGAATTCAGACATATAACTTACCTTGTGTCCAAATGTAAGGTCAATCCAATTGTGCAGAGCCTGTGAAACACGTGGACTCTCCAAGAGAGTCATGTGTTTCTCAATAAAATCTTGTGGGGAAACACACCAATCAGGAATTCCCAGGTCAGGCAAATCATGGTGCACTGATTTGAAAATGGAAGGTTCCAGAAAGAACTCTGGAATGCATTCATCTGGTGTCCATTGCTGAATACGTTGGATACTAGCTGGGTACTCACTGGGTACCCAGTATGGTCGCACATGAGCACACAAGATTGACTTAGAGGTTTGTCTTGCCTTGTATACATAGTACGTGATGTCTGACAGCACATCAGATACATGGTGTGGAATGTAGGGTGAACGGTGAACAGGATCACCAGACAAAACTGGTAATTCTTCATATGTTAAGTCCAGCTGGCGATCCCCTTTATTTAGCCGATATTTGGTCTTCGAGAGATCTCGGAAGTTCTTGTGTTCAGAAGTAAAGTCTGAAACCCATGGCAAGATCGGATGGTTGTTCGGATCCCCAAGGCGTCGACCTGCAAGGTGATTGAGAATCATCAGATATTTAAAATTACTTATCCGCCAATGGACCCAGTCAGACACCACACTGGACAGGTCATCAATAGAGTAGACGGTATAGAGACCAGAGCTAACAAAAGTTTGAGCATCTTCTACAAGGGATTTTTTGTCTTGGTTAGGTAAATATAACATCGATGAAGATTTGATGCCATTCAACCCCAGGGATCCAGCTGATTGATCGAGTAGGAAAGAGACTCGAGAAAATGATATGTCAATCCAGAGCTTCTTATCAACAAAAACATTGTGCAGTTTAAGGTGACCGGCTGATAGGCCAATACTGTGACCCAGCTGCATCGCCTGGAGAATTTGATAAAGGACAAAGAGGGTCTTGGCATGAGACTCATTAAAAAGGGCAGGGCTGTATGACACAACATCCCACAGATTATAGGGATAATATGGCTGGAGCAATAGAAAGTAGTTCTCTAGTTCAAGGAACAGATATGTTGAGACAATATTAGGGAATAACTTTCTTGAGCTTTCTTCAGAAGAGGATAAAAGGGATGATTCACAGAGCAGAGGTTGAAAGCCATCAAGACGGATGTAACGATGCGGTTGGAAGTGAAGTACAATTTCACGGAACAAGTCAGAAAACTGAAATGAAAAATTTGAGAAAATATAGCAAACCCCAAAAAAGTAAATATCAAAAACTTTAAGGCAACAATATGAGAAAGAAAAAAAAAGCATAAAATATTACAATCTCTATTACTTGTTAGGTAAATGAATAACAAAATGGAAACAAATCTAAGCTAAGCTAGGGTGACAGTTGTAAAGCAATGTTGAGCAATCTCACTGGGTTCCTTACTACAATGTCCTTGTGCCAGACTAAGACTTACATATGATTTAGTGCAAGCCAACTTTTACTGGTTAGTTCCATATTTTGCTGTACAGAACTTTAGTATTTTAAAAGAAAAAACTATTTATAGCCAAATTTTCCATAAAATACAAATTAATTCTGAAAAAAAAAAAAACAACATGAATATTACTCAATTCTCGATTGTTTGTGTACCTGGGTTTTATATTATGATAATGCCTGATGTGAGTGTAATTGTATTGTTTTTCTTTTTTTTTTTACGTTTATGTCCACTCTGTACAAGGTCCGAGAGCCACTCTAGGTAGAGGATTAGCATAAGCGGCACAGTTTATGCAACTATATAAGGAAGATAACATAACCATAGACTTGAACATTTTAAAATTGTAGTGATCAAAGAAGCATCCTGTTGGGAGTTGGTTTCACAAAGCAGCAGTTTGTGGGAAGCTGCTCAAGTGGAGCTTACATCTAACCAATGGAATATGAAGGGAATAACGGTGGTTTGCTACAATATGCATGGCATGGTGGGTCTTAGCCGTGAAGGTTAAAACTGGTAGAAATGAAGAATGTAGTTCATCTGAACACTTTTTATGGAAATGGCAATAGAGCAGTGAGAGGATTGCGACGTCTGTGAGAAAAATGGTTGTAGGCTGGAAATTAATTCATTGACAAGAACACAAAGACGCTTTCAGACTATCATAATTGGAAAGTGAAGACTGCGATGGCAACAGTACTCCATTTATTGCCTGATCTGACTCTTGTAAAAGGTAGAGAATAACAGGAGACATTTGTTTGTTTTAGTGGCATATCAACTCCTTATGGGTCATTTAATGCTGAAATTTAATTTTCTTGGGAGCATTAATAATTTCATTTACAAAAAATGTATTCTGGTAAATTTTTTTTTTTAACTATGAAAATGTACTGCTGGTATTTTTACTATAAAAATGTATTTTTATACTTTCATAGTATTTTGACCCCAGTTTGGGGTTTAATTAATTTTGCCCATAGATGGGACCCTAACAAGTGCTACCAACCTGGATCAGGGTGGATCTAGGAACAACAGTAATTAAGAGGTGGTACCTCAAAACAAAACCTCTTGATCAGAGGCCTTGCTGTAGTTTATCGTCATACCCAGGACGTGCAGGTGTCAGGTACTTACTGGAGCGGTACAGTCCTTGAATGTAACATATAAAGATAACAACAGTATTATTGTATTGTACTAAGTTATGAATGGAAACATTATAAAGTCTGTTGATATAATCCTTTTGTCTGCATTAAACATTTGTGATAGAAACTTGAATTTGTCAGTGATGGAATTTAATTGTGTGTGATGTTATTGATGAGAAAGATCAAAGATTCTACCTGGACATTAAACAAAGAACAGTATCAAAGATGATAGAACAAAAGAATGCTGTCCTGGGTAAGATGATAAACTACATCCGACAGCAAGACCTTGGATCAGGTTTTGAGGAGCATGGATCCACCTCTTAATTGCTGGTGTTCCCTTCCACCCTAACCCAGGGTAGTAGCACCTGTTAGGGTCCCAGCTATGGACAAATAGTTAACCTCCACCCCAAAAGGGGTCAAAACACCATGAAAATCTAAAAATAGGTTTTAATACCAGCAATACTTTGTTGGAAAAATTATAACCAGCAGTACATTTTTGAAAAAGAAAAATATTACCAGCAATACATTTTTTTTTAAAATATTACAAATACATTTTTGGAAAAAAATATTACCAACAATAGAAATCTTGTTGGCATTAAATAACCCATTGAGGTTGATATGCCGTAAAAGAAACCAAACCAAACAAAAGAATGGAACTTAAAATGGGACAGGTCTATTAATCATTAACAAAAATCAAGTAAACAAAAGTTTTACCTGTTGCTCTGAATATTCAAATTTTAATCACTTATTTTCTTATATTTCTTTTGTATTTCAGAAGTTGCTTTTTATTGCACAGAAAGATTATGTTTAAGCTTCAAATGTGTGTTTTCTTTTACTTCACATTAACAGTGATCTAAACCAAACAACTATTTTTATGTAGGAGATGGTATTCTGATTTGGTTTATTTTACAGCATATCAACCTCAATGGGTTATTTAATGCCGACAACATTTTTAGGATAGATTCGTATAAATAGAATATGTATTCTTTTGTTTAGATTGGTTTGGTTTATTTTGTTTTACAGCATATCAACCTCAATGGGTTATTTAATGCCGACAACATTTTTAGGATAGATTTGTATGAATAGAATATATATTCTTTGGTTTAGATTGGTTTGGTTTATTTTGTTTAACGGCATATCAACCTCAATGGGTTATTTAATTTTTATTGCTGATAATATTTTGTTTTGTCAAAAATCTGTTTCTGGTAATATATTTCCTTCAAAATTGTATTGCTGGTAATAATTTTTTTAAAAAAAAGTATTCCTGGTAATAGTTAACTATTTGCCCATAGCTGGGATCCTAACAGGTGCTACCACCCCGGTTCAGGGTGGACCTGGTAACACCAGCAATTAAGAGCTGGTTCCATGCTCCTCAAAACATTCTGATCAGAGGCCTTGCTGCTGGACGTAGTTTTACGTCTTACCCAGGATGCGGATGTAGTTTATCGTCATACCCAGGACGAGATGGTATTCTGGGGAACAAAAACTAAACCTAAAAGGTGGAAGATAGATGTTATTGTTGGATACAGCATCCCAAGACGTAAAGCATAAGATGCTCAACTAACTGTATACAGCATCCCAAAGCTGTTCAAAATTAACCAAAATCCAATGCACAATTTAAAACCCCTTCCCCAGCATAGATATAAACATGTATATAAGTTTTTACCAAAAGTGCTTTTTTCAGACACTGATAAATAAATATATACAAAAAATAACACTCAAAAACCAGCTACAGATGTGTTTCTATATAGATCTTGATTCTTTTTATGCCCTTCCGAGCTTGAAATGAATCCAATTGTCAACTCATACGTCTGGTAGAGGTGTTAGCCACCACTCGGGTACTTCAAGGTGCTTACACGAAACAAATAAAAAAAAATTTGTCTGAAAATGAAATAATTGGCAGGGAAAGGGTTTAAGAAAAAAAAAAAAAAAAAAGGTAGATTTTTTTTTTTTTTTTGTAGGCTTGTGTAATCATATCAGCAGTAGCCGATACCCAACATTATCTGGCAAATAAGGCATACACAAGAGGAGAATTGCTGAGGGAGCTTGAGCAATTTTTGAATGACTTCTCACATTAAACCTTGACCTAGTATCATATTGTGTAATGACATAGGCAGGTAGATGATACCCAGATACAAGAGAGTACTGAAAAGTTCTTACTAGTTCTAAAACTCTGACCACATATCAGAATTTTATTTTAAAAGGTTTTCTTGGTTGGAGAGAGAACTTTTGAGCATTATCATACAAACAAAAAAAAAAAAAAAATATCATTAAATATAATACACCACACACATATATATATATATATATATATATATATATATATATATATATATATATATACACACACAAGTTTTTTTTTGTGTGTGTAACAATTGACAGACAGTGTGCAAAAGACCCCATTCATGTCTACACACAAAAAATTAACATGCTGACAAACTACAACTAAACCCCTTTCTTTCCCTCTCTCTCTCTCTTCACACGAGTTGACGAGAGAGGGTGTGGTGAACTAGAAAGAGAACCACTCCCTAGGGTGACAGTTCACAGTAAGAACTAAATTGTATTGAATCTCAACACTCTGAATTTTGACATTTAACAAAAACCTTAGTAAAAGGATAGACAGTTTTACATTATTGTGCTTTGGGAACTTTTGCAGTAAAAAAAAAAAAAAAAAAAATTGGGGTTGTAAAAATGTAACATTTATGTGGATAAAATACGGATATCTTTACTGAAGTGTTTATAAATTGTACACTGTTTAGTAATTAACATCAACAACAAACTATTTTAAATTACAAAATTGTACAGGGATTAAATGAAAATTACTTACAATATAATACATATTACTTATAATACAATCCTTCTTGCCATCAATTTTGACAGCATGAGCACACTAGTATACATATAAGACAGTAAAAAAAAAAAAAAAAATTTACCTTTTTCTTGGCACGGCTTGGAACAGTCTTCTGCTGACTGAGCTTAGAACAGGCATTTAAATAAAGATTCTTACGGTTCTCCTGGCAGATATAAGTTAGCAGATCCGAAAGACAATAATCCTTCACGTTACAGTAGAGAGGAGCTGCCAACACACTAGAAAAAGACACAGCAAAAGACATTATTATTATTATTATTGATAAGAAGAAACATTATTGATAATAACTAGAAATCCTTTCAATATCAAGTTTGTTTCATAAGAAAGAATAAATCTAATTTTCAGAAGAAAAGTATGACAGGTTTACATTTAAATGTCACTTCAATTAAAACATTCAGAATAGCAATGGTAAGATTAGTAGAAACTTTATGCAAAAACATTTGGCATTCATTTATTGAACAGTGTTATTCTCAATTAAAATATATAAAATCTTTTTACTTGCATTATTTATATTATTCAGATTGTTATCCTCATCTTCATTGCCATATTCATAATGTTTTGGCCATAGTACGCTTCAAATTTCTTCAGGTAATTGGACTTTCAAACCAAACTCCTTATTTCATCCTCCGCGGTAGATTGTTCTATTTCCACATGCCTCTTCCAGATGTCTTTGTTATTTCCCTTTAACTCAACTCACCAACTTTTGGTTCACTACTGCTGTGACCTGGTAATGAACTCACAACTTTTTGGGTCGAGTCACTGGATCTACACAACATCTTTAACCACTAGGCCATGTGAATATAGCAATGAAGATGAGGATAACCTTACAAATAATGTAAATAATGCAAGTAATCATAATACCTCATCTCAGAGATATAGACAGAGATATAGAGAGACATAGACATAAAGGCTGGAGTGTATAAAGGCCGAAACGTTGTGAATATGGCAATGAAGATGAGGATAACAGTCCGACTAATGTAAATAATGCAAGTAATCTTAATACCTCATCTCAGAGATATAGACAGATATTAAAATCTTTTTTTTAAAAAAGTTTTTTTAGAAAATTAATCTCCTGTTATCACTCTTCTAGTATTGACAGTAGTTTCCTTCCAAACCTTTTGTTTTTGCTAATGTGGAAAGTTAATGCCTTGATTATAGCAGAATCCTTATGTAAGACCACATTTCTGTTGCCTCCCGCTTTCTTTTCGTCTGTGAGGAAATTGTCCAGCATTCACTGACAGAGAAGGATTGATATTACATAGCAGTTCAGCAATCTTTTCTTTGTTTCTAACAAGTTTTTTCTGTTTCTCAGTACTTTGCTATTTCAATATATGAGCAGATTTTGGTGTCAGATTTTCTATCTTCTGTTAAAAGATTTCTCAGATATATAAACAACTGTACTTGTTTGATGTTGACATCACTAATTCATAGTTCATGACAAACATATATTCTGTCTTCTTACAGCTGATGGTTAATCGTTTCTTCTCACTTTCATTTATTACCTTGTCTTAGAGGTCCTGAGGAGTTTTCTTTTCATGCCTGTCATCTGCGTATCTTACATTGTTAAGATTGCATGTATCCGATAATAAATCCTGATAGAAAGAGATGCTGGAAAAATGGTCAGTTCCTGTACCTCTCCAGTAAGTATCTGACTCCTTGTGCCATCCTCATCATTTGTATTGCTCTCTCCAAGATCATTCTGATCATGAATATTGCATTTCTTGTTCCAGTATCCTTGACAAGGCTGCACTGTTCTTGCACTATTTTCAATCTAATTGTTCTTCATGCTCTATTCGCCAGGATTCAGATTATTAGCTTAGTTATGCGACTCATTAAGCTGATCAAATGTCAGTACTACCAAGAGCTATATCAGGCCAGAATGGCGTACTGCTGCCATATATGGGCAGGAGCTACAGTTTTCACTTTCCCACTTTCAATAGAGTCCAAAAGTATCTCTGCTTCCATGTGGGTGACTAATTATTTTCTATCCTACAACCCCTTTCTCAGACAAAATGCAGCAAGCCATACACAGCTCTATCGCCTATTTCCATGGAAAGTGTTCAGACAAACTACATTCCTTAGTTCTAATCTTCATGGCTAAGACGCGCCATGCTACACACATTGTAACAAAACAAAAATCATTCCCTTCATATTCCATTGGTGAGATGTAAGTTCCACACAAGCAGCTTCTTCCCACAAACTACTTCTCTGTGGAACCAACTACCAACAGGACGTTTTCCTGATCACTACAATCTTAACCTGTTCAAGTCCAAGGTTAACCATTATCTTCACCATTCACCATATATCTGTGTAAAGTGTCTCTCTTACTTTATAATCCTCTACCTTGTACAGAATGAACATCACTATAAAAAAAAAGAAAAAGAAAAGAACATCATTCTCACACAGATCTTAGCTTTTCTAATAATTCAAATAGTTCCTTGTGCCATACCAAATATCAAATGCTTTTGCGTAATCTGTAAAACATAAGTGATCATCTTTTCTGCATTTGTATTGCTCTTTCCAAGATCATTCTGATCATGAATATTGCATTTCTTGTTCCAGTATCCTTGACAAGTCTGCACTGTTCTTGCACTATTTTCAATCTAATTGTTCATCATGCTGTATTCATCAGGATGCAGATTACTAGCTTAGTTATGTGACTCATTAAGCTGATCAAATGTCGGTACTACCAAGAGAAAAACAAAGATCATTTTGTTCAACTGTGACACTGAGGCCATGAAGTGGTTAATGTAAAGTATGAGCTGGAAGATGTATGAAAGAATTAAGCCAAAACTGATGATATGGAATTGGGAAAGGGGCCATTTGGCTTTCTCCTATGAAAGGGACAAGGCACTCGAAGTTAATTTTCTCTCTATTGAGAATATGGTGTGTGGTGAAATGAATTGAGAAAATATTGTTAACAAGGATAGGTCAGGATTGTATTTTCATGGCTGAAAATGAATTGGGAAAATAAGCTTACTTCTCGCTAGGAAGGTTAAATGAAAACAAACTTCTCTTATGAGTTGGATGTAGAATTAAGGCAGAAGTTATGAAAACAAGCCCTGTCAAAAGTGATTCCAGGGAAATAGAAAAGAATCATTTTATTAAAATTAATGACTAGAATAATATAAAAAATCAGATTTGTCACAAAGATAGTTATGCCTGTCTTGGGAAGTAGAATGTTGAGAGGGGAGGAGGAAGAGGGAGAATCTAGCACCACCTGTACGGAGTGATGGTACAGGATGTAAAGTGAAGGAAGTTGGAGTTGACAGGGAGGAGCGATCCTTGTGACTACTCCCAAGGGAGGTGGATAATTCTCCAAATTTGGAATGTTAATTATGAGAACAGAAATAAAGAACAAAAAACCTTGTTGGGTTTAATGGAAAAATTGAGGAATCACCGAATCCCCAGAAGCCCTCAGCCCTGTGCCAGTTTTGGGTTGAAGCACATACAAGCAGATGGTGTTGAGAACTCAAGGACTTGCACAACAAATTCCTGCATCAAGTGCCTTTGGAATCCACATCAGCTGCACCAGATCCTGACTATGAAGAACTTTGAACCCAACATCACCAAACAGATTAATATGGAACAGTTAATTTTTGTTGTACCAAGAACTGCATAAACCAAATGAAGATTAATCCAAAGATTCTTTCATTTTTAGTTCCATTTGTGAAGATATTTCTTCCTTTAATATAGCTTCCACCATGGCTCGAATCAGCACTTTGAATACTACGACATTCGATCTTCCACTGCTCTGAGATCAAGAACACAATGTGGCCAGAGTTGGTGTGGATCAAAGCAGCCAGCATCAGTATTAACCAGTGCAGCATGTAGCCCTGTGGTTAAAATGTCATCCTAAGACCCTGAGGACCAGACCACTAAACATGGTTACACCATTGAGTGTAGGTGGTGTAAAAAGGGGTTATACAACCCCCAGCCTCCCATCACCCTACAACAAAATTGGGGAACATGTTCTTTAAGTTTATCAATGAACACTTCCTTCCTACTTCTGTTATGCATCATGTCTCTTCAGGTTATAGGAGATCATGGCCCTCCACAACTTACTATCTTATGTGACCCTTAGCAGTATTTCTCCCTTTTCCTTCCTTCTGTTCCACCATCCATTCATAGAAGCTCATCAGGTAGGTGGCCTGCTACATTTCCCTATCTCTCATTTTAATATCCCCTATGAGAGTTAAGATTTCCAATTTCTTTTTTGCTGATTCTGAGTATAAGTGTTCTTTTTGTTACCATTTTCTTCAAGACTTCCTCATCGCTTACTCGCTCCATTCAGAGAATTCTCAGTATCCTTCTGTAGAACTACATTTCTGTTGTCTCCAGTTTCCTCTTCATCTGCCATACAAGAGGGTTGATATTACATAGCAAGCAAGCACTCTTTTCTTTATTTCTAATAACATTTTCCTGCTTCTTACTACTTTGTTTAGCTGCTGCTAGTAAGCTCAACAAAATAATAGAAATAAAATTCAATTATTGTTGCATCGAAAATATAATCAAACTAATAAAGAAACATAGCGTGAAGGCACCATACACACATAATATGAATTCACCCACTCTTGTAATTGCAGGAATATAGATAGATACACCTTGATGGGGAAGAGAACATTTAACACTTCTACTGCTGTCAATGTATTTATATGTCATAAAAAAAAAACATATTGCCTGCTGTTAATGTATATATAAATTTTCAAGACACCATGAAATGTTAGTCCTCAGTTATTCTTTTTAACTATTCTTCACCTAATACAGGGCCTAAGAGTCACTCAAGGTAGAATATTACTGAATGCAGATGTTTTAAAGGCATATAGAGAGGGAACAAGTGTTGCCTATAATGAGGATATCACAGCTGACCAAGATTTGAAAAGATTAAGACTGTAAGTATCAGGGAAGGATCTCCTCAGGAGTTCATTCCATATTGCAACAGTTCTGGAAATGAAGCTGTTTGAATTCAAATTTTCTCCTTACCAATGGAATACAAAGGGAATGAGGTTGAGTCGTTTCCGTGTACATGGTATGGCAAGTCCTGGCTGTGAAAGTCTGGACTGGTGGAACCAAGGAATGTAGTTTGGCCAAACATCTAAATAGCAGTAGAAAGAGGTTTTCAATGTTTTGCCAGTGGAAAAGGGGTTGAAATGTGTAGAACAGTTCATCACCTTAAAGACTGCACAAACGCTTCTGAACCCAGCCAAAGTTGGAAAGTGAGGATTGGGTAGCTCCGATTCAGGTGTGCCAGCAATAATCCCTTTTTGGTCTGATCTGACTTGTAGGATGGTTGAAGGATTCAAGTACTTTTCTGGAAGAGTACAAGGAGCTGATCCTTTTTTATAGCATCTTTATCAATGGATTTTTTTAAATTTTTATCTTACAATCAAATTGTTAGGGCAGAAAACAACTGAAACTAAAAGAATGATGAAAATAGGATTAAAATCAGTTGACACTGATAAGTTGAAATTTTGCTTCCATATCGTGGGCTCAAATGTAATCATACTTATTATAAAACCCAGGTTGTGTGTGTGTACGTTTATATATTGGATCGGATTTCCTACATTTTTCAACAGATTTCAACAAAACTTCACAGGACGACATAAAATTACCTTGTGGTGGTTCTGACAGCATCAAAAAAATTGGAAAAACAATTGTTTTTGTACAAAATCAATTTGAAAACACGATTAAGAGGCATTGCGAGAATGAAAGGGGGAAAACTCATATCGAGTTATACTTATTATAAAACCCAGGTTGTTTGTGCATGTTCATTTATATATGGGATCGGATTTCTTACATTTTTCAACCGATTTCAACAAAACTTCACTTTTTTTTTGGCAGGTAGTTTCTTATTGTCTTGCACACTTTTTTCTTTATTTTTACATTCAGAATGCTTTAAAAATTCCATTTACAAGACAATTGTTTATAATAAAATTCTATTCAATCGGTAGACTCATAACGATTGAAAATAATGTTTTTGTTTGAGTTTGACCAATTCGTAAAAAAAAAACAAAAAAAAAAAAAAAAAAAAAAACTAATTAAGACATGCATGTGTCAACCTTAAACAATAATCTTTGTCAATTTTATTTTTCAGTCTTTATGATGGTCGATACTTGATCTATCTCTTACTGTTACATCCCCGGGCTCTACTACTAGTCAATACTAAAATACAACTATGACCATTTTTCTTTTCAACCTATAAATCCTACCCATAATACTTTGGGTTATATAAACTGTGAGTAAAATGTTATAAACTTACTCATCCACCAGGTCATCTGATTTAGCAACAATTCTAACAACAAGTCGAAACCACTCAGGTGGAAGAGAATTACAGGAAGCAGCCAAATATTCATCACAGAGATCAGGAGGCAAAGTCTGGGAATTTTCTGATATTCCACCACCAATTGTTTCAAGACTCACATTCTTCAGCCAGTCATGGGAAACCTGTAAGATAAAAAATAGGTGTCAAACATATACTTAGACATATATACAAACTAGTAAAGTAGTTATTGACAAATTATATATATATTAATGCATGTTTCATTAAATAATATAGACAAGTTTTGTTTATTTATTTTAAGTTCCTTTCATATTGTCTGATAAGCTTAATCACATTATCATTGAAAGACGAAAGGAAATCACCATATTGATACATGTTTAAATCCAATCTAAGCTTTCAGCTTATATAAGCCATTATCAAAGATGACAATTTCAATTAATCAAACAACACACAGATGAAACCACAATAATAGTCCGCCCTTGCTGCTTGAAAATTTCAAAGTAACGATAAACTCATATATATGAGAGACAGAAGCAAAAATCGTGTTGCAGGTCATGACGTTACACATGACCACACGAGAGTGAAAAACAAGTATTAAGTATGTGAAACTGTTGGCCAAAAGCTTAGATTGGATTTAAACATGTATCAATATGATGATTTCATTTCATCTTTCAATGATAATGTGATTAAGCTTATCAGACAATATGAAAGGAACTTACTTAAAATAAATAGACAAAACTTGTCTATATTATTTAATGAAACATGCATAAATGAAAAATTGCTGCTTAAATATACACAATATATATATATGAAGAAATATAATCTTAAGGTGTGCTATATTTATGGGATAAAGTGCTCAATATCAGAGATAAAGCATGTGTAAATATAAAAGTGAACATTGAAGTCAACACTTAGAGATGACAATCTGTTTCAAGCTAGATGCAATCATCAGGCCACCTGATTATATATATATATATATATATATATATATATATATATATATATATATATATATATATATATATATATGGGATTTAAAATAAATTTTTAAAATGAAAAATCTTGAAACTTTTATTTTAGTTTTAATTTCAAGCTAATAGATTAGGTTTAATATTTCCAATAAGCAAAATACTGTATTTCAAAACTAATTTAAATTAACTAGGAGTTTTTTGTTTTAAAATCACTAAACATTACTGATTTTATCCCCATTTTTAGCCATCTTTCATGTAATTCTCTTTATTAAAAAAAAAAAAATATATATATATACTTTTCTGAAAGTTTGAGCAATATTAACTGATTTAAAGTTTAATCTGATTTGAAACAAACATTACTTTTAGTTAAAAATATCACAGAAACATATTTTTTTAACATGAAGACAATTGTTTATTTAAGGTGTTGACAGGTTGGACTGCTTGACTAACAGGCAGAAATTTATCTAAATTTTTCTATGGTGGACATATCGGTAAAAATTACCAGAGGAATGTAACACAAGTGCCTTTTTTATATAATCTTTAACTACCCAGTAATCTTAAAAATTTAGAAAAATATTCTCCATAATCTAATGTTTTATTGAATTTTAGTTACTTTTCCTTCAAATTTACTGTAGTTATCACTCTTATTTTCTGATAATGTCATATATGGATGTCCGGATTTACAGAAATCAACTTATTTATACACACACATTATTTTTTTTAAATATGGGAGGGGGCGTTGATGACTCGTAGTAAGCTTTCCCATTCATGATTAGAAAATATAGTTTTTACTTAATAATATCACCTAATTTGTATAAATTAATAAAGAAATTTAAAGGATTTAAAACTTTATAAATTATTCTAATTAAAATTAAAAAAATGAAAACAATTCTTGTAAAATTCATTATTTATCAAAAAAAAAAAAAAAAAAAAAATTTTTTTCTTCAGGCCACAATGTCCATAACACATCTTATTCATAAAAACAATTTTTATTTTACAATTCAGTGCTGATTTTCAGTAACTGGCATTTTACAAAAAAAAACAAAAAAACTGATGATTTAAATTCTCCAAAGAATTCTCTGTATAACTAATATAAACATTAAGCAGGTGGTTTTCTCCTAGTATAAGTTCCGGATTATTTTAACATCTTTCCCAAATAAATCAAAGGTTACACACTTCCAACAGTTCTTTGTGACAATACTTTATTAACAGAAATTTAAATTAGGCAAAAAAAAAAAAAAAAAAAAAGACTATTACATTCAAAAATAAATGTATAAGTATTGTATTTGAATAACACATTCCCTGAAATGTTGGAAAGTCAGACAGTATATTTAGACAATAGTACAATTTATACAATAGTAGTGTATATTGGTCTATATTTCTGAGATGAGGTACTGTAATTATTTATACTATTTACATTGTTTGGACTGCTATCCTCATCTTTATTGCTCTATTCATGACATTTTGGCCATTGTACACTTCTTCTGGATCTGTCTGCACTTTGTTGTACACTCTGGCCTTCTTCAGGTAATATACATTGGAATTTCAAACTGAATCCTTTATTTCATCCACCAGGGCAGATTGTTCTCCTTCCACATGCCATGCCTTTTCTGGATATTTCAGTTATTTCCCTTTAGTAACTCAACTCTCCAATTTTTTTTAATAAATTGCAATATTCAATTACAGGGCTCTGGTACGGCACTTGATGTTATATTTGGTTACATAAATGCTTTTCAAATGAAACTAGAAGCTTTTAAGAGGGATGTAGATAATGAGTGATTTAAATACTTTGCAAATCTAAAGAGGGTATATCAATAATTTCCCAAATGATGGCAGAACTGACTGCCAATATTTTCAAAAGCTGTTTGTAAATATCATCAAATCAACTGTTGGGCAGTTCTTTAAAGTGAGAAATGCTGCTATAGGCCAAGAGTTTTGGGCCACCATCTGGATTTAAAAAGACTCACCTAAAAATTGAAGATTGCATTCTTTTTGCAAACCAATTTACTAGCTTACTTTGAGCCAGAGGGACTTTCACTTCTTGAAGGATTTTTATTATATATATTCAATAAAAGTAATAATAATTCCAAAGAAAGTAACCCATTACCACATAAAGTTTCCTTAAAATGTTAGCTCGTTTTTATCTAATCTACTGAATTTAGAAAACACTATTGTATTCATATTGTTAACGGAAAATTACGTCAAGTACTTTCACGTGTAGAAATATTTCTGTGTTGACGGTTTCAGCCATTTTCTTTTGATTTCTTGATATAGTTGTGTATGTTAGCTTGGGAGAGTAGTAATTCTGTTAGGAAAGGTGATATTGGGGAAAAAATTCTAGTTGCTAAGGATATTTTGTTTGTTGTTAATAGTTACTTTGTTTTCAATAAATTAATTTCGTTTCTGCCTTGAAAAGTCCACATTGAACGAAATATGTCAGCTAATAATACAATTTTCCTATTGTCTTTTACACACACACACATTATATATATATATATATATATATAAAGTAATAAATCTGTTGGTATATAATCCAAGTGGATGCTAGTAATATAAAGTATCAAAATTGATCCACAACAAAGCTCAATGTATTTATTATTACAAACCAGAAATTAATACACATAAAATCCAAAATCACCTCATATGGGGGAAATAAATATATATATATATATATATATATATATATATATATATATAGGTAGAGGATAGCAGGAGTCAGGTATTTACTGGAATGGTACAGGGAACCAACCCTTTTTTTCAGCATCTTTAGTGATATATAATTTAGCACTTGAAATTATATTTTCAATTGAGCACTGTTGAATGACAAGCTAATTCTAAAACCAACAGCCACCTGCATTAATGTGAAGCTCTTCAGTAAAATGAATAGAGCACTTCGGGTGTTGAGCATTTGTTTACATTTGTAAAAACAATATGCTAGATTTGTCCAACTCATTCTGTTGAGTGAAGATAGCTCAGTGGTAGAGACTGACTGACACCAAATCGGTTGGGTTTCAATCTGGGCTTGAGGCATTTAGTTGTCTAGTCGCACTGAAGAGCAATGATACAGTGAAACAGTACTGTCTGTGAATGACATAAAATATATATACACACACATGTTCAAACACTACCACAGAGAACTTGATGTGGTATTTCAAAGTGAATTTATTTCTGTTTTTTTAAGTAAATTGAGTAACTAGTCATTATTTACTTAGCTTAGTTTTGGCACATGCCCATAAATACAGGGCCCCGTGAGAAACAAACTTACCACTTAATAGTAATGATCAACTAAACTAGACCATTAACAATTGTCCCACACCAAAGTATCCAATTGACCTTTTTATTTTACAGCAATGCTCACCTTATACAAGGCCAGAGAGCCACTCAAAGTAAAGGGTTACAGAGCAAGAGGCACGGTTTATGAGTAAATATGATGAAGATAACAGTTGACTCTAGACTTTAACAGGTTAAGATAATAGTGATCAGGGAAACATTCTCTTGGGAATTGGTTTCACAGATCAGTGGTTCATGCAAAGAAGCTGCTCAAGGGTAAGTTAGGTCTCACAAATGGAATACGAAGGGAATGAAGCTGGTTCTCTACAATATGCATAGCATTGTGGATCTGAGCTGTGAAGATTAGAACTGGCAGAACTAAGGAATGTCGTTCGTCTGAACACTTTCCATGGAAATAGTGATAAAGCAGCGGGAGACTTACAATATTTCATCTGTGAGAAAGGGGTAATAGGTTGGAAAATAATTTGTCACCCACAAGGACGCAGAGACACTTTTGAACTCTGTAAAGACTGGGCAGCTCTTGTCTGTATATGGCAGCAGTGCTCCATTTTCAACTTCTGATCTGGCTCTTATAAAGGTAGAGGATAGTAGGAGTCAGGTATTTACTGGAGTGGCACAGGGAACCAACCATTTTTCCAGCATCTTTAGTGATATGAAGGGAATGATTCTTGTTTCACTACAATGTGTGCAGCAATGCACATCTTAGCCATGAAGATTAGAACTGGCAGAACTGAGGAATGTTGTTCATCTGAACACTTTCCATGGAAATAGTGATAAAGCAACGGGAGACTTGCAACATTTCATCTGCAAGAAAGGGATTGTAGGTTGGAAAATAATTTGTCACCCACAGAGACACTTTTGAACTTTGTGAAGACTGGGCAGCTCTTGTCCGTATATGGCAG